ATATATATATATATATATATATATATATATATATATATATATATATATATGGTAAATTACAACCACCATCCTGAGATATGGTCAAATTACAAAAAAAACCCTCTTGTTTGGGTAATTACATCCACCCCTCAACTATAAATATTTTTACACGTCCACCCTTGCAGTTTCAAATTTAGTGTAATCTTCGAGATTATATAGAATATTATCACTTTTGTACCCATTTTACCCCATTCAAACTCCACATTTTGAAGCAAGATGATAATAATATGTGTTTTTTGGCTTGTATATATCAGATTGTGGTGCATCAGAAACTGTGCTTTTACACAAAACGAGTACAAGCTAGAGCACATTCCATGAAATCTAGATGATTATGTTGAATTTGACACCATAAGGGTGGAGGTGTAAGAAAAAATCATAGTTGAGGGAAGTAGATGTAATTTTCCAAACAAGATGGATTTTTTCGTAAATTGACCATACCTCAGGAGGTGGTTGTAATTTACCCATATATATATATATATATATATATATATATATATATATATATATATATATATATATATATATATATGCTTGAGTAGGGGTATTTTCGTCATATTTTGGAGGAAAAAAATATAATGTGAGGAAGGTTCTTGTATTTATGTGTAGTACAGAGGTATATGATACTAAGTTTATAGTACATGAGTGTTTTTGTATTTAACCATAATAATCACTTATGAGCTAATACGATCAATTTTCCAATCTTTTTTTCCTTGCTTCCATGATTTTTTTTTTCTTTAGAATGAAAGAACTCGCACTCAATCATATACGCATTGAGTAAACATATATTCTCGTATAATAGCTTGCAAACCATACGAGGGACGTAAACCACACTAGATTAACCATATGTGACAAGTTCGACCTAACGACCATTGTCAAGAGGATTCGAACTTGAATCAACTGACACAAGTTCACTTACTCCAACTACTTAGGCATCTTTTACATGAAGCTCCATAACTAGTTGATTCATACCCAAACATGGACAATTACTTCAAAGTGAAAAGTTAAAAAAAATAAAGTTGAAGTGGAGAAAAACCAAGGACAAAAGGAAAGATAAAGGAAGACAAAAGTGGTAGTGGGGCAAAAGGGAGGGCGTTGACATTTGATTAGTTGATGGAAGGATTTTATATTTTATTATGTTCACTTGCATTACACTATTCAAGCACTTATATACAATATATTAAAATAAGACATATTTATACATAGACTATATTGTAGTGGTGATATATTTTAATTAAAAGTAAAAAAAAAAATATAGCATGATAGGCTAAGCTCAGGTGTCGTATAGATTTTCAAAAGTCACCTTATTTTCCTTCATTGTTTTTGTCCTTTCCAATTTGCTATTTATGCCAAGAAAATAATTGGGACTTCTATATTCTCTCAAGTCATATGGCATTTTTTTATTTTTTATTTCCATTTTCTTCAGATTGTTTATTTGAATAGAAAATAATGGTAATTGCAAATAGTCAAATCCTCTAATTGCACACATTTTTTTAAACAACTAACTACTAATCATCTTACAAATTTGCTAATACATCCAAGATCAAAATTTGCTATAATTTTTTTTCCTCCACTTTCAGAAAATAATATCAAAACGAATCATAAAAGCTAAATTTGCCATGATAGTCCAAGAA